CTAAGTTTAAGGTCTCATTTCATCCAAAATAGCCAAAATAAGGCCTGTTTGACTTCTACTTGCCCATTTTCTACATTTTTAAACAAATGACCAAGTTCTTTCTCATAACATGTCAATCAATTTTATTTATAGGTGGCTAAGCCTTGAAATCACAGAAAAAGGGCATTTTACTAAGTTTAAAGTCGCATTTCATCCAAAATAGCCAAAATAAGGCCTATTTTACTTCTACTTGCCCATTTTCTACATTTTTAAACAAATGACCAAGTTCTTTCTAATAACATGTCAATTATACTTAGTTATAGGTGGCTAAGCCTTGAAATCACAGAAAAGGGCATTTTACTAAGTTTAAGGTCGTACCTCATCAAGATGTATGGTGTTGGAACAATGAGTCGCTATGTCAAGCATGAATCTCATCACGTATAATCCACAATCAAATCCATTATCTTGTTGTGGGCACTAGCATAGGAACAAATCAAATGAATCAAACGTCACATAAAACCCACAATTGTTTTAGTGTTGTTTATTAAGATAATCACAATATGATGTGGCATTACCATAGGTGATTTCCATGTAGGACCCCGTGGAGCACGACCATGTATCTTCTTCATAATACTATAGGAAAGTAAATTCAAATTTGATTAGTTTGACTACTAAATGAGTGAGGTTAAGATAATCAACACTAGGTAGCTATATTTACTTTTTTAGTACAGACATCACGAGGTACTTCTTTGTTGATCGAGATGAATCAAGGTTAAAGATTGTGTTATTAGCAGGACAAATCACCATGAGGAACCAATGAAACCTACATAAATTCACAATACACAAACAAATCAATAATTAGGGTACAACAAATAATTCAAATGTAGAAAGAATTGAATTACACATGGTTAAACGTACTCCTCATAACATGGGGCAAATATGAACTTGTCTCCCGCACGCATTGATTCCCAAATATTATGATTAACATAATACATCACCTCGGGGATTTATGTAAGATTCTAGTCTCGGATGTCTGTTCGGGGCATAACCGTAGTGCTCCCGTAGTGCTCTCAGTGTCACTAGGCGAAAATTGCTAATGGCAATAAAAGTAGTGTAGAAGAGGCGGGTTTTTTTTTATTCAAATATTGCCACCGGTTCAAAACCGGTGGCCATGAGCATTTTTGCCACGGGTTCGGTTTGAACCGGTGGCAATAAATTTTCCCATATGCCCACCCATTATTTAAACCACCGGTTTACAAAAACCGGTGGCCTTAAACCGGTGGCCTTTTCAATTTTTCTACTAGTGTTATTCCATCCATGTGACATTTTAGCTCATTTAGTTTCACTAAGTCTTGCTAAACTGTTTGCTATGTGATATGGTTGAAAGTCTTTATTAGAGTATTTCATATTTGACTTAGTATATACTTAGTTCAAACATTTACTTAGCTTTATACATACAGGTCAAAAGTCTTTTAAAGTCCTTCAATTCATGTTTTACACGGTAAATTCCTTCACACGTACAAACATTTTATTAAGTCTATACTATAGATCTTAATACTAATATGTACTAAGTATCGTCTTTTGCTTGGTCCATTGTCGATATTACATACTTTCAAACCTAAGCATTTAGCATTTGATAGTTATTTCACAATAGAGTTCGTAGAATTCTTATTGGTCCTTTATATAATTTACTTTTGCTCCCACTAAACTTCTTATTCATAAGAATTTCTATGTTTCTCCATAAGTCAATCCTCTTATTAACTTCATGAGAAAACATGTTCCAATTCCTATATGCAATGCTTCCTTAAATCCCATAATGGATTCCTTGACCTTGCTTTCAAATCTAGCATTATTTAGATTTTCAAAACCCTTAGATTATTTTCATAGTCACTTCCAAAATTCTATTTTAGGAAGGCGATTTTGGTATCTATTTTGTCATATTTCATATGTGCAATTTTGCTAGAACAATCACGAAAAGACTTTAGCATTCTGATTGGTGAATAGGTTTTTATTTAAATCAACTCCGTGAATTTAATTGTATCCTTTATAACCAATCTAGCTATGTATACATATACATTTCCACATTTGTTAGTTTTCTCCTTTATGCTTTATGCAAATTAATCAAGTTTTAAAACATGATTTTCAAATGTGGAGTCTATTTCGGGTTTTTATGGCATCTAACCATTATTCGGAATTTGTATTTGTCGTAGCTATTTTACAAGACATTATTCCCTTACTATTGATTAGTAAATAGTATGCTTGTATGTCTTAGATTTGTTTCTAACTTAATAGAAAATTTATAGGATTCAATCCAAGCCTTTGGTGAATTTAATACCTATACGACGTTATTTCATCAAACACTGAGTTTCAAGGCGCTTCCAAAGCCATTTGATTTTCTTCATTTTACTCCTACTTTTCAAAAGTTTTGTGAGAAATGAATTCTCTTTTAGGCACTAGTAAAGTCCTTTTGAGTATTCTTGTTCAAGTATTCTCACGAAGCCCTTTTAAGGTCTTTTCGAGATTCTCAGTTCTAGTTTGTTGCTAAGCTCGATTGTCATCGAGTTCATTTTCTTCCCACTAGTTGTTTTGGAAATGTGTTACTTTCCAGAAAGACACCACATAGAGAAACAAACACTATGTTCTCAATTAGGTTGTGGAGGTAATGCCCGTGGTCTCACTTAAATGCTTACAAAGAGACATGTATATTGTCTTTTGGTAAAAGTTTGTTGTAAAACAAACAGTTAGCTCCCACTTGAGCTATCTTAGCCTTTAATGAGCCATTAAGCTCCCACTCAACCACCTAGCTCTGGCTAAGCCGGTGAGCTCCCACTGAGTCAGTTAGCTCCCACTGAGCCAGTGAACTCCCATTTTGGCTAAAAGTTTTAGACATATACTTAAAAAAGACATTTAGAAGTTAATTCTATCCATAACTAAAATGGCATCCTTTCTTAGCTTCGACATTTTGTTTAGTGTAACATTAGTCCTTCGTGCAAATCTTAGGAACTTTATAAGAAGGGATGTGATCCATAATTGTTCTAGTCATTTTTAAATGGTAACGAGATCTCCGTGAAGACACGCTATGTTCTTTGTGGAGTTATTTATGAAAATTTCAATTTTATAACTTTGTGATGGTCACGCTTGGCTCAAGCAAACATCGCTCGATCTAATCTAGACGTTTTGATATTCTGCCAAGTTGATTCTGTATTTCACTGAACTCTTGAACTATTCAAGGTCAAGTTTGTTCACTTTTGATGAATATAACAATATTCTTTCAAATTCTTTGTGAAACATTGAATAAATGAATCCTCTTTAGCTTTCGGAGTCAATTGTCTATACCAAGAACAATAGCTCTTTACTTTATCGGTTTCAACAAGTACGACTTGCTTGTCTTAGAACGATTTCGAATCAATCAACTATCAAGAGCCTATCTAATAGAGCCTTGAGTACGTTCTTGTCGATGTGACATTGCTAAAGATGATCAGAACGTAAATCATGCCCATGACTTTGAGCTTTTGTCAGTTTATCATTTTAAGAAAATGTATGTTTATAATTAAGAATTCTTGACTCATGGTTTAGACAATCATTCCATTCAAATAAATTTACAACTATTGCTCATTGCTTTGAATGTGAGTCTTTCCGTGTGTTAACGGATCAATTGCTGATTATGGAAAATAATAACCATTTATTTGTTCCAGCCTTAGCTTAAAGGCCTTTAAACAAATCATACGACCATACTACTGATAGCACCACTTGCTTCATTCTAAGCTTGTAAGTCGATAACTTAGCTTATCTTCAATAGTTTGCGGTCACTTTCAAAGATGAACACTCAAGCAGTATCCCATACTTAGTTAAGATAATGAGTTGCTATGTTAACTTCAATAACATGAATTCTTTAGTAAAATGGAATCTCATTCCTTTTTGTTGTTCCTCGTTTCCTATATTTCTTATCATACTTCATCTCATAATCTTTAAGAACCATTTCTTTAAGAGTCTTTAACTTTTATACTTTGTTAGGCATAATTAAGCATCTAATGCGCCGTAAAACAAAGTTCCATATTTTCCTTTAATTCACGCTTGAATTACTACATCAATGAGTCCTACTCATCTATGTATTAAGAGAAAAGATATATTGGTTGTCAATATAACAATTTGAGTTTGGAACTCAATACTTCATTTTTTTTCAAAACTACATAGTATTTTGAATACATGATGTCTAACCATCCTTAAAAGTCATTTATGAGAATTGTATTTTAGAAATGCATTACTTTCCTTTGAGAACCATTCTCAAACATTTCCTTTACCAATCATGGAAAACCATACAGTTTGATTTGAAATTCTCTAAATATAAGTGCAAAGTATAACCATTTTTTAAGTACATAATAAGTTTGAAAATTAAAAGGTATTCATGCAAATTTTTAATCTTATTAAACGTCTTATCCACGCAATAAATTTTTCCCCATTCGGCGAGAACAAGTCTATTCCATGGTCCAAAGAAACAAAGAGTGGTTAACCATGTTTTAGCTTGTTTTAACACTCAATCTCCTAAGGTAAGCAACGCCTTGCTAATGGCTCCAAGCCGCTCTTGGTTGAATAAATCGTTGCATCTAATGCTCTCTCAACAATTTATTCACTTTGCCACGACATGTTAGGACTCCATAACTCATATAGTTGAGTACAACCAAAATCAACTTGCATACCCGGTATGCCTTATAATTTTAGGGAGTAGTAGTGATGCCTCGCTTTGGCGTAGCCTATCACTACTCTCAATATGTCGATAAGTGTTGTTTTGGAATGGCAATTTAACTCAATATTATGAGAGAATATACACTCCATTCATCTATTCACTATTTCTGAATGGCCCATGCAATTTACAACAAAAACAAGAAACAATCACTACTACAAAAATACTCAAAGAGACCCAAAATAAGAAACCAGTTATTTGAATAACGGGTCTCTTTAATTAAAGAGACCTAACATTACTAACAAGCGTTCTCTTTGATAGTATTCTGAAAAGAAAAATTTTAACAAAGACCCTATATTAGGGACAACATGTCTCTCTTGTTTTTTTTTTAAAAAAAATAAAATAAAAAGGAGAGACCTGTGTTTTTACATAAATGATCTCCCATTTTATTTAAAAAAAATAAAACAAAATTTAATTTTGGAGAGACTTGTGGTGTTGCTTAACCGGTCTCCATTGTTTCCAAAAATATAATATATGAACTAAACCCAATTTTTTTTTTTAGTTCAATCCGCCTCCACGCCTCCATTCCCTCTATCTCCTTCTCTGTTACCCTCAAACTCTTTATTCCTCTCTTCGTCAACGATTTCATTCAATTTCAATTCCATCGTCCATTTCTCGTCTCAATTCATCTTTTACTTTAAATCTAAATTTTCGATGTTTATCATTTTATTCTACCTCGGTACTATAGAAATTGCTTAGATCTTTCAATTGGTCTTCATAGATAAACGAATGGAGCTTCAAAAGTAGCTTTAATGGCGTTCGAAGCTTCTCCTCTCGATTTGCTGAGTCGTCTTTGAGAAAGAATAGATCGTCATGGCCAGAATATGATCTGCTATTTGGCGACTTCACGACAACTCACTTCTAATTTCAATGATATACCATTGTTTAGCACTAAGAACAGGTTCTTTTTCAATTTTTTTTTTCGTTTCATTTTATTATCTAATTGTTTTTTCATACTCTTAATTTTGATTTATATATATTTTAGATGTCGCTGAAATTAAGTAAAAATCATAACTTTATGGGTTAAGGGAGGGTTATAAGGAGAGAAATTATGGGGAAAGTGATTACAGAATTGTTTGATTCTCATTTTGCATTTTTTTTTTTTCTAATTATGTGTATTCATGTTCATGTTCATTTGATTTTTCGTTTAAGGCTTGTTTTTTATGTGATTTTGTGGTGTTGTTTTTTATCTATTTGTGAAATTTTTGTTAAATTATTATGGATCAGCAATTTTTTTTTTTTTTTTTTTTGTTAGATCTGTAAATATTGTTTATTAAGTGTTTATTATAATGTTGTGCATATGGATCTATTAGATTTTGTTATTTTTTTATGAGTTTTAGGATGTCAGTTTTTAAGATTTAACAATTAAATAATTTGTTGTAATTTGAATAATTCTTCTTTGGTTAATGTATAATTTACTAGAATTTTTTGGTTTACTGGCTATATGTATGTCAGAAGATGTTCATAAGTCATTGGTAATTGGTTGTAATTTGAGCTTTTTTTTTTAACTTGCTCTTTTACATTGGGTTACAGTTGGTATTGATGCTGATGACAATTGATTGAGCTATTCATGTCCCAAGTGAGCGTGCGGCAAGAATATTATAGAACTTGTTGCTGCTGGTGGGGGAAAGTTGGACTCTGCTATTGGTGGTTTTGTGCTGCTGCAAGTGTTACTTCAGCTGCAGCGCTAAAAGAGGAGATAGTGGAAGAAGCAGTAGTAGTTATAGGATTTATTATTAGTTGATTGAAACATTGGAGATATTTTGTGAAACGAATTAGATAAAAGAATGTTGGATTTCGATCTTGGAATGTTATTTTCCCTTAATTATCAAGCTACTTTGCAATTATCCATCAACGCGTATGATAATATCTATTCAAAATATAGCATATAATAATTTAAAATAAAATTAAATAAACAATATATATATTAAAAAAAAAAAAAACCAAAGAGACCTGTTAAGTTAAATAGTGGTCTTAGTTTCCTGAAAAAAGAGACTGCTTATCTTAAATAGGCGGTTTCAGTTTTCTAATAAAAGAGATTGCCCATCTTAGATAGGCGGTCTCAGTTTTCCATAAAATGAGACTGCCTATCATAGATAGGCGGTCTCAGTTTTTCCATTCTAGAGACCGCCTCAAACAAAGCAGTCTCTTTGCCAAAAAGACCGCTTAGCTAGAGATCGCCTCTAAGGCAGTCTCTTTGGCCTTTTTGGACGGGTCTCTTTGGCCTTTTTTGTAGTAGTGAATGCATAAACTCGCGATAACTAGTAACTAATCTAGGTGGTTAATTAAATTAACACACCTAATTAAAAACTAGACAATGTTGTTTTAACCGATTATGTAAATAAGCGCAATTAATATATGAAGCTCCCACTAAATTCCGCATCCATCTTAATTAATCCAATTAAATATGCCGGTAAAACCCAATTATTTGCCAAAATAAAATTTTGCAAATGCCGCTCTTACAACTGAGGCCTAGCCTGCAAAATTTACTAAAATAATTAAAACCAAATTAAATTAAATTAATAAAATAACTAAAGCGGCAAGATAAGCAAAAATTACGTAGTCCAAAATATCCAAGTGCCTAGCACTAAGACTTGGAGTGCTACCAACTCGCACACTGCTCGCACGATCTCATTGCACCACATTTCTTTGCAAGAAATGTCTACTCTTATTCCCCTTAATAATGTACTAAGCTATGCACCAAAAACAACCCTCAAATAAACTCAAATGCAACTACCCTAAGCGGCTTACCCACGGAAAGCCACAAGGCTGCCATGGTGTGCAAAGGGCTGCATGCACAACAGCCACCACGCACACGTGCACCACATCGAGCCGCCCAACAGCCTCGGCAGCCCCATGTGGGTTGCATGAGCAACCTGACTGGCCGAGAGCTTGCTTGGGGCTCTTAAGCCTCAATTTGGTGCACATGCCTCGGGAAAAATCCCAAATTTTGTGTGACATATTTAATCAATTCTAAATTAATTTTAGAATTAGTTAATTTTGAGGAAAATTGAAAATATAACAAGTCAAACTTAAATAAATTCATCCAAGTGCATAAAACCAAAAATTATTCAAAGAACCATTCTTTCATAAAATTGGTTTAACTTGGTGCAACAAAAATAAGAGAGCAATTACTCACTATTAATTTACCTAATTTAAATTAATCTTGAGATTTTGACAAAATAAAAGGAGTTGGAAAATGAACATAAGTTCAATAAAGATTCCAACTTTAATACTTGTGAATCCTTGAAAAATTATATCTTCCAACATGAAGATAAATAAATTTCTATCACAAGTTTAAAACTTTATGATTCCAATCAACTAAAAAATGATTAAATCAACAAAGTTCAAAAAAGTTCATGCAATTTAGGAACTCAAAGTTTCAATCACTTAACATAATTAAAGATTGAATCTTTAGTACTTAGAAGCCTCAAGGAATTACAATTTCACATTTAATGCAATTAATTTGCAATTATGTGAAAAATAAAACCAAGCTTTCAAAAACAAATTACCACCAAGTACTCATCCCTGAAGAGGTTTAAAATTGCATATAAAATATGTATTGAACCAATTATATAACCACTGAAAATATGCAATTAATTTTCAAGGTTAGAATGACTTAAAAATTTTCAAAAAAACGAAAAACCCCACGAAAACTGAATTTCTAGTAACAATGCATTTGTCACCTGACCGGCTGAGGAACCTCTCTAGTGCCGCCAAGAAACCAGTTAGTCTCTGTACTTTCATGACAGTGCGGGGTGACTTCATGTCAATTACCGCCTGTATCTTCTCTAGATTTGCCTCTATCCCTCTTTGATCAATAAGGAATCCGAGAAACTTCCCAGACTCAACACCAAAGACGCATTTCTTAAGGTTTAACTTGACCTTATGCCGCCTGAGTGTGGTGAAGGATTCTCGGAGATCAGCAAGGTGATCCGCCTGCTGCTTGGATTTGACGATCATGTCATCAATGTAAGCCTCCACATTCCTCCCAATTTGATTAATGAAGACCGTATTAATCATCCGTTGGAATGTAGCCGGCGCATTTTTTAAGCCAAACGACATCACAATGTAACAGAATAACCCCTGATCATTGACGAAGGCCGTCCTCTCTTGATCTTTTTTGCACAGGGGTATCTGATGGAAGTCGGAGTAGGCATCAATAAAACTCATTAAGGCATGCCCAGATATTGAATCGACCAGGCTGTCAATCTTTAGAAGCGGATAACTGTCCTTGGGATATGCCTTGTTGAGGTATGTGTAATCAACACACATACGGTAGGTACCGCTCGGCTTCTTTACAAACACAACATTCGCCACCCAGTCGGGGAAATAGCATGGCCCAATGAACCAAGCATCCAACATCTTTTTTACTTCGGCAACTGTCGCCTGACTTCTTTAATCGCCGCGATTTTTTTTCTTATGCTGGAAGGGCTTCTTTTTTGGATCCGCTGCGAGTTTCTGGACAGCAAGATCCGGGCTGACGCCTGGCATCTCTTCCACTTCAAAGGCAAAAATGTCTTTGAATTCTTTTAGCAATAAGTGCAGGTTTGCACCCAGCTTTGCAAAAGCAACTATCCCAACCTTAACCGTACGCTCTAGACGGCTGTCGTCCAAAGGTATATCAATATGTTCTCCAGCCGGTTGGGACGGAGCTCATCTAACCGTTCCTCGGTCAGTGATTGCTATTTTTTCTCTTTCTTCACCTCCACCAGCTGAGGAGCCTTTGTTTTCTTCTCGACTGGTGGTGGGGTTGGGGCGGCATCCTTGACATTGTCAAGGACTATTAGTTCCTGCGCTTGGCCGTCTGGGGCTATGGTATCCTTGACGACTGAGAGGTAGCACTCCCGAACCGTCTTTTGATCCCCATTCAAGGAACCAACACTGCCATCATCCCTCTCATACTTAATGAGCATGAGAGAAGGGATGATTACAGCCTTGGCTTCGTTGAGGGTTGGACGACCTAGGATAATGTTATAGGCGGTCAATTCCTCAACGACCAAGAATTTGACGACCAAGTGTCGTCCTTTTTCTTTTTCACCCAGTCGAATAGGTAAGTTAATCCTACCGACTGGGTAAACAATCCTACCCCCAAAACCAACAAGGGGGTGGGTAACCGAATGCATGCTGCTGAGGTTGTATTTCAACTTCTGCTGGCATCAGAGACTGATGATATCCGACGAGCTGCCGGTGTCAATTAGGATTCGACCAACTAGTTTTTGGCAACCTTACATTCAATGACGACCGGATCGTCATGCGGACGACGGACAGTACCTCGATCCTTCTCAGTGATCAGAACGTCAGGGAAGGAGGAGCTTGCTGCCGCCTGATCATCATCATCATCATTGTCCATCTTTCGAAGATGGCTCTTGGTGCCCCGGATGGTAGGGCCACCGCATGAGAACCCACCTGCTATGGTGTAGACCGGCTCCTTATCGGTGTCCAAGCTACTAGCAGGATGGGGTTTCTTAGATGACTGCCCCGGGTTCTTCTTATTAGTCCCTTTAGACTCAGAAATGCAGGACATTAACATCCCCTTATTAGCCGGACGGTCCAACGCCCGTTGAAGGCTGAAGTAGTCTTTAGTGTCATGGCCAACTTCCTTATGGTATTGGAAGAATTTATTTTTGTTCCTTGATTGAATGGAACTCTTCATTGGATTCAGCTTCTCTAGAGACAGCCGGTCCTTAATCTTCATGAGGATGGAGTTGCAGTCCTTGTTAAACTCGTACCTGGGGACGTACGATTTAAACTCTTTCTTTTTCTTCTGGGACGGCTGGCCAGAATCAATCACTGCCCAGACTTCTTTTCTTTTCTTGCTCTCTTCATTTTTTTCGCCGGCTGAGCAGGTCGGCTTTCTTTTTTCCTATCAGACTTCTTGGAGTCCGACTGGCTACCAGGCGAGCAGAGGTCGGTTGCTTATATATAGCTTTTCGCCTCCCTCAGGGCCGCCTGTAAAGTAAAATCCCCTTTTCTGACTAGGTCAAACTTAAAGGTCGACCCGTCTCCCAGACCCTTAAATAATTATGTAAAAGCTACCTTGTTAGAATGTCCTTGAATCTAAATTCTGATCAAATTGAACTGCCTGACGTTGGAGCGCAATCGTTCTCTCTCTCCTTGCTTAATGGTGTTCAAGTCAAGACTTGTTATCTTCGCAAGGATGTTCACTAAGAAGTTAGAAGCAAACAAGAAGGCAAGCTTCCTGAAACTATCAATGGCACCGGCTGGCAAGTTTCCAAACCACTGTTGGGCAATGCCCTGCAATGTAGCCGAAAAGCATCGACACCAAGTGGCATCGTCTAACCCTTGTAAAGACATAAGGTTGGTGTAAGCCATGAGGCGGTCTTCCGGAACGAAGGTGCCGTCATAGGTACCTACCAACACATTTTTAACCTAGGCCGGCTGTGCCGCCTCGGTTATTTCACAGGTGAACGCAGAAGGTTATTCACCAAGGCGGAGCAGACGAATCTGCTAGTCTAGTGGCTGGACGTTGTTGTATGCCGCCTGACCGCCGAAGAGGGCCGGCTGCATGAAATGAGGAGAATACGGACCATAGACTAGAGGTGGTACATACGGTGCATTCCCAATGATCTGAGGGCCATAATTGACGATATTAGCGCCTGTATGTCTCTCATGCAAGGATAGCACATTCCCCGCAGATGTATTCTTGAAGCTGTCTGGAAAGCTTGATGTAGAAGCTGACTCAGACAGCTACTGATTCCTCTTGTGGGTGATGATCTCCCGAGCGTCAAGATGTGATTCTTTTCCCACCGGTTGTTCAGTCCGGCGGGTGGTATTTGTGTTCCTCTTAGGAAGAAGAATCTTGGACCAATCAATGGTCCCAGAT